GGGAAACAGAGGATTCAACAGGAACGGCCGCGGTGGTGCTAGGAGAGGGTTGCAGAAGGCTCTCTCCGTGTTTCTGTCGTGTGTGTGCGTTTTGCAGGTATTTGTGTGCACAGACACCTGCAGTCTCACATACGAGCAGCACACGGTGTGAACTGCTGCCCTGGGGCCGTGATTTTCTGAGCCATTTTCATCGTTCCTGAGCTCTGGGTATACATCTAGGTACATCTGATCTCCATTTATGCTGGCTTCAAACTGCAGAGCTGGAAAGGGCAATGTTCCTATACTAGTTTCAATTCAAAGCTGTAACGTATTTTCCATCACCAGGAGCTCAATTGAAGCCTTTGGATGCCCGAGAGAGGAGGAGGATTTCTTATTGCATGTGTCTGCACCAGACCAGTGAGGAATCTGTAGGGTACTGCACTGCTATCAAAGCAGTCTGTTCTTAAATGTAAAATCCTTCAATGAGAGCTTCCTTTCTCTCTGTTATTTCTATCTTACTTTGGAAAATGCAGTTCCATGGCAGCGGAGCATTGTTTTATAGTAGCTGTTTGGGTTTGTTCCTTTTTATTTTAGTATTATTTTTCCTTGAAGATGCTCATCACCTCTCTCCCACCAGTTTTCACCCTGTGCCTCGCACTGGCAGCCTGTGCTGCTCAAGGCAAAAGAGAGAAGTGCGCAGCTGGTTTCCTCTCTGCCTTTCCCTTCCTATCAGCATTTAATTAAACACAGTTGTGAAAACACTGAGCTTCATTTTGGATTGCAACCACAGCCATCCCCAGCAGCAAGCCTTTCCTAACTCAGAGTGACTGTAACCCTGGTGATGGTGTCAGCCAAGGCCTCGAGGAGGCTGAGCTGGGAGTTGAGGGATGCTGTAGAATGAGAAATGAACCTCAAATCAATGAGCTCAATCCTGCTTTTGGATGTTAGTGCCAGCCTTGCCCTCTGATGAGGGGAGATAACACTGCTTTCACTGCAGCCAAGCTTCCCTCTTGGCTCCTTTCAAGGTGCACTTGACTACATTTTTTTCCTGCTAATAGCAAAATGCTACGTTAGTAAGAGACGTGGGGTATTGCGTCTGTGCTTATTTGGTGTGGAGGTAGCTGCGTACTTTCTCAAGGCTGGAGGGTTTGGCTTCACAGCATGTGGGTTTGGGGAGCAGCAGTCAGAACCCGGAGTGGGGTGGTCTTACCCACATCCCTAGTGCTGACTGCACTGTATCCAGGCAGTGATATACGTGGCTAGTGTATAATCAAATACTTCTTAAAATCACTTTTCTGAAGTTCTGCCCTCTACTTGCACGGTGTGTTGTGTGGGCAGTAGGTTGTTATGCATTTTGGCAGGGCAGCAGTCCCTTCCCCTTGGAATGCAGTGGGAATCTCCTACGGATTTCTTTGTTTGAGCTTTTACCCCCTCTCTACACTACAACAATTTCAAAGCCTTTCATTAAATCCGAAGGCCTCTCTTTGATTGTTCATATCTAAGCTATAATTACCCAGTATCAAGGTACCATTTCATAGGGGGGCTCTCGCAAGAGAGAATAACTCTGATTTGATTTCTTTCCAGTCCTTTGAGAAAATCCATAACAGGATGAGTCTAGTGAAGAGTGATGATAGTGCAGCTCTGATACAAACCTGATGATCTTCCCCCGGTTCTGTCGGGGTTTCCGCTCCAGCAACTTCCTTAAGGCTGCCTTGTCAGAAAGAAAAATCGCGTTGCTGGAAGTGGGTTGTGCAATCAATCACTGGCCACCGAGACAGGGGGGATCAGAGGGATTCTCAGTCGAAACACTGCAGAGGAGCTGGCACATCCCTTCACCAAGGTATTTAGTCGTGTTTGGTGCCTGGCTCCCCGTCACTATTGCTTAATGAGACTAGGCTGTTGTAATGCCAGAAAACAGAGGCCAGAAGGTAATTACACAAGTTATAAATCCTTCTCACTGTTGTTACCAACTTCTTGGATTATTGTGTTTTCTTTGTCTGGCCTGAGAGCAGATTGATATTCAGAAAATGTATTGGTTTATTTCACCACTAGAACGATCTAAACCACTGCTTTCCTAACCTGTAGTCCCTGCTGGGCCAGGCTATGTAAGAGGTGGCAAAGAATAGCATGCTTCCCTGTGTCTGCAGCAGTTACACACCAGGAACTTCTGAATGTCCGTATATTGGAAGAGGTGGAAAATTGCTTTGCAGACAGCCTGAGGGATGTGGTGAACACACTCAGCTCCTCCTGCTTGAGTCCAAGCTCCTGACCTCCCTCTGTACAGAAAGCTTCTCAGTGGCTGTTTGTGTTCCAGTGTCTAATTAGGCTAAGATTGCAAATGGTTGCATGCCCTGCGGTGCAATCACTGTTCCCCATCATCCCTGCTGGGAGACTGAGGGGTGCTGCCTCTGCATCTTTCTCTTCTGCTGCTTAGGGGACGCTGCAGCTGTGTGATGTGTGTCACCTGGTTTTGTTTGTAGGCGTTTTATGGGTAACTGTTGAACTTGAAAAAATGCATAGATAGTAGGACTGGCAAAGGTTGAATTGGGTCCTTTCAGAAAGGCACAGGATGTCTTCTCTTCCTCCCAGGTAGGTGGGGGAGTGTTCTCAGAGAATGCAGTGACCCTTTGTAGTGGGACAGTCCTTGTATGCTGGCTGGGGGGGCAAAGGTGATGGAGATAAATGAAACAGAAGCATTTCACTGCTTTTGTGGAGCAACAGGAATTCAGATTAAGCTGGCTGTGGCTCTGCAGAGATCTGTGAACAAATGGCATTAACTCTTTGCACCTCTGAAAAGAATACAAAGCCCAGCTACCAGTCCTTTGCTGCCCACTGCCCCTTCTGGGGGGATTAGACAAGTTCTAATGTTGAGTCATTTATCAATTTCCTCACAGTTTTTGTCCTTCCACTCTTCTATGTCCTCTGTGGCATTCATACCAGCTTTGGTCTGTAATGTTTCTCTTAGATTTCTTTGGAGAAAGGGTCAAAGCATTGCTGTTTTCTTCTTTGAACAGGCTCAGGGATTCTATCAACCTTCAGATTACTTATATCTCCAGACTAATGGAGGCACTTTTTTAGAAAAACATTGGAATTTTGTCTCTTTTTTTTTTTTTTTTTTTTCCAATTTGTCTTAGGGAAAAAGAAAAAAGGAGGCTGATGTATCCTCAGTCATGTGTTGCTATTTCCAAATGAGTTTTACAAGAGGAAAAACTCTGTTTTCCCAGCTCCACGTGGTTATCCTTGAAGACAGCGAATTGCCGGGGGAAGCAGAACGGTTTGATCTCTGCAGATGTGGATGCAGTTCACTTCTGCATCTCATGGTGGCTTTTGCTTTCTCTTGGTTTATCTCCAGCACAGCTCCTCAGCTGGGCTCTGCAGATGGTGTCTGTGAAATGTCCGTGCCCGTTTTATCCTTTTCTTTCCATTTCTGCATTGTTTCTCAGCAGCAGGACAGTAGCAAAAAGGAATGACAAGGACAGAAAACAGCTCTGTGGCTCTGCCTGTCTGTGCTGTGTGCTGGGCAGCAGGCCCAGGCCCTCTGGGTTTTCTGTCTATTGCAAGAGTTAATGGTGCTCTCTGTTTCCTTTTAACCTCTCAGTAAGACCTGAGCTATGCCAGGTACCAGGCTGGAGACTAACAGGGTATGTATGTCTGGAGGGCCTTTGAATGTTCTCCATTGAAAACAGATTTCATTGTAGTGATAGAGGATGTTGTAATTTTAAGCTATGATAGTAAGTGCAAATGGATAAAGAGTACTTTAATTTTGACTTGAATCAAAATCTTTATAATTAAATAGAGCTTATGATGTCTCCTTCGAAATCCGTGCTTACAGAGGGGGGTTGGAGCAGGTTCTGTGTGCTTCCATGGTTGGTACCACGTGGTGCCAGGAGGATCCTGACCTGTGCTGGAGGCAGGCAGTGGGCACTGTGAGACTTTGGAAATGCCACCTCCTGCTCTGAGTTGCTGGGAGCTCAGCCTGCAGCTCCTTGCACGGTGCTGTGGGTCTGCGTGCTGCTGGGGTTGGGTGGCCCTGCATGGCATTGCCAGCCCTGTGGCCACAGCTCCTGCAGCAATCTTTGCCTCACGTTGCCTTCTGCGCTGGTGTCATAATATTGACTTGCAAACACCGAGCTTTTTTTGCCAGTTGCTATGGCTACCTTGCAGCTACCAGCATCTGAGCTGTACAAGCGAGTAAGAAGCAATACATTCCGAGCCTTAATGAAATGCACAGCAGTGTGTTAAACTTCTAAACCCAATGTAAGTATTACTAAGCAACATCCGGCCGTGGTTGGCCATAATTATTGCTGCAAGCTCCTTCTGGCTGAAATACTGGAGTGAGGGTTATGCTGTTCCACTGCATTGGATGCATCTTTCTGCCAGTAGCCTCAGCTGCCTCGGAACTGTGATGTTTCATAGTCACTTCACAGTTTCAAAGAACTGAGTTTGACCTCTCAAAGTTACTCACACCTTGCGAATGGCAGCATCTTCAGCATCTCTTCTTGTGTGTGTTGCCAGTTTCCTTCTCATTCTCTCCTAGAAACTGATTTTTAAGAAGCTTGGTTCTTCTGCCTCAGCTCCAAAGTACCAACCTAACTCATACCCCTCAAGCTGCTGCTTGTGTACCAATTTGGAACCAATCTCATCAAATCAGCATGAGTGTTAAATTGAAGTGTAGTTAATGTGCTGCTGCTGGTGCAATTGGCTCCCATAACTGCCCCAGGAGGAGTGGATGCCTTGAGCCTTTAGAGGTGGCAGATTTCTGTTTTCAGCTGAGGGGCCTGACGTAGTGTCTCTGTCTCATGCAGTGCATTTTATCCATCATTTTGAGAAACAGCATGCAGCTGGGCACTGGTTGTATGTCCAGACTGCAGACTTCAAGTCAGAATATCGATTGTGCTGACAGGTGCAATTGCTGTTTTCAAATTAGTTGCGTTGTGCTTGCAGACCAGGCAGTTCAGAACTGCTCTCATTCTCTGCTGATTAATCTGATTTTGTGTGTTCTGCTAATATTGTGCCTGCAGTGCCGGAGATACCCATGCTAGAGAGGAGGAACTGGTTCATCTATCTGCTCTACGTTCGCAGAGAGTACGACGAGTGCAAGGTAGGAGTTGCTTCTGAGACTTTGCACTGGAAAGGATTTTTACTGCTGTTAGCAAACGGCAGTTTTCATGCCAGGACAGAGCCAGCTGTGCTGTGATGGGTGTCCCAGGTCACCTGGTGAGCCAACAAAGGGCCCCAGGGTCCTCTCGTTTCCCATTAATCTGTATGTTGTAGTTTGAACCAAGGCTGTCTAATCACCCCCCTCTCCTTACTTCTCTTGGACTAAGGGAGAAGCAGCTAAGACAAGGCTTTAATTTTCTTAATTCCTCAGCTGTGTTCAGAATTCATATGTGCATTTCTCTAGAGCTGTCCATGAGCTGTTGATGATAGGTTTGGAGGCAGTAAGAATGAAAGATCTGCAAACTTCCTTTGTTCCAGGAGGTGAACGATGTCTTCCAAACAGATTATAAGGCAGTTCTGTAGTGCAGGTCTCTCAAAGGTAGTACAGAGCTGCTATCAAAAACACTTCAACTGGGTAAAACATTTCTACCAACTCTAAAATACATCTTGGCTATCCTAGAATGAAATTCTTCCATTTTGCGTGGTACAACACTGCACCTTTTGATTTCTCCTGGGTTTAGTGGGTAGCTTGAAAGGAATTGTTTGATTTGGGATTGTAACAGTAAATGGGCTATGGAAATTGTGAGTTTATTAAATGTTGTGTTTTCCTGACAAGAACACAAGGCATTGAAGGTGATGTGCCAGTGGGTGGGAGGAGGGCTGTAGGAGTTGTCTGTTTGTTTTCATAATGTGCAAAGTACATCTGAAAATACTTTTTCCCTCCTGAAACACTAGCATTGGCCAGGACTTGTCTCTCTCTCTCTGTTGGAAAGCTTTTGGGGGTGCTTAAGGAAGTGGTAGGCCAGAGAAACGCATTGAGCTTAATTAATGAAGCTGGAGGAACTGTATCATCCTCTCAGATCTTGGTTTAAATGGATGTAAACAAAAGCTGGATTGGTAATCTAAATAGAAAGTTGCTGTCCTTTTCTGTTTCTTTTGGTACCTGTTTTGTATGTGTACTGTTGTCACGGCGGGATGTAAGACTGTGGTGTGCAGAAAAAGTGTACAGCTCAGGGGAGCAGGGAAAATAGCTGTGTGGATGCTCCAAAGGGAACACTGCCTTCTCCAAGTCTCTGTTAGTCACCAAGGGAAGCAAAATAGGGGAAAAAATAGAGGTTTTGGCACCAGACCATAGCTAGCTAAATCACCTTCCATCCTTCTGCCCAGACACGATGAGTGCATGCTCAGAGGCCTGGATTTGTCCCAGAGAAGTTAAGAACATGCTGGATCCTTCTGTGCTCTTCAGAGGTGGCTGTGTCCCAAAGGCAATCTGCTCTTAGATGGGCTGAGCTGCCCTCTGGGGCCTCCAGCTCTCGCTGCTGCTCTGTGGGTTGCAGATCTGAGCAGGATGCCCCAGGTGCTTTTATACATGTTCAGGGCTAGTACCTTCAAAAACTAAAAAGTATTGTCATCTCCAATGCCTGACGTTGCTGTAAACTTACAATTCAAAACAGTTTGGGCATTCACTCAAGTCTGTCGGTTTTCTTTTAAGACTCAGGTAAGAAATGAGTGATCTGTGTTAATTTTTTACTGTTAGCCCCTTTTTTCCATTCACTGCTTTCAGATGCATTGTCTCTAGCTCCCCTATTTGCCAGTGACTTAAAACACCTAGGAAATAGTGTTTATTTGCCCCAAAATTAAAAGGGTTGAGTTGGTTTTAACCCTTACAGTGCCACTCCATCTGCTCTGGTGTTGCCAAACTTCTGACAAACTTCTTTTGTTGCTTATTACAGCGGCAGATTGATAACAGACTGTTTGATTCTGCTGCCCAGCAAGATGCAAAGCAGATATCCTCCAGGGTGGGGACTGCAGCACCACTTGCTATCGCAGTGCAGTCAGGGACACCAGATTTGTGGGGTGATGTTGGAGAGTGTGGGGACCGGCCCTGCTAAGCAGTCATCATCACTCAGCTTTGCATGCAAAGCTAATAAACTGCGTGTTCTGCTCACAGCCTCAGTTCTGCCTCTTCCCCCTAGCTGTATTTTTTACAACAGAAATCTTCTGTTATGTGTGAGGGAAGGATTATTAAAATTGCCAGATGCTTTTAATTAATTAAAATCGCTCATGCTGGTTGGTCTCCTGCCAATGCATCTGAATTCTGACAGCCAGTTAAATAAACCTGGGAGGAAACACTGGGATTACAGATCATCCTTCTCAGCTCCAGGCCTTTTGCTGTGGGATTTTTAGGGTTTGAAGAATTAATCAGCTCCCTCTAAAAGGTAGCTCTCTATTGCCCTCTCTTGCTCTGAGAGACTGGATTTGTGCCGATGGAACGATGTAGTGTATCTGCATTCAGGAGATGCTCGCTTGTGTCCAAGCCGAGTGTCTGATAGCAAAGTGCTTGGTGAAGACCAAAATGCAGGTGTGTGGAGGGCTCTGGCTAGGAGATGGGAAGGTGCGTAGCCCAGGGGAAGAGCAGTCCTGGCTGCTTCTTTGTTTTTCTTTCCTCTGTTTAATTTTCTGTTTATGAGGGATGCTGCTCAGTAATAACTCTCCTTGCCTTCACCCTGCTTTTCTTCTATGTGCTGCGTTTGAGGTTCAATTTCCCTTCTTGTTTTCAGAGGCAGGTGATGAAGGTACAGAGCATGCTCTTGGCAGAAGTGCCAGATGAGCAGCAGGTTATTGCTAGCCCAGGAATCCTCCCCCCACTTTGTCTCTTCTACACTGGAGCAAAGGAGGAGGCTCAATCAGCAGAAGCAGTGTGTTTGCTTCATGGCACCAGCTTGCATCCTCCCAGAAATCACTTTTTTGGGGCTGCTTTTACAATTTTAGGTCACGTGTGACTGTGGAATAGAGCCATACTACACCTAAACTGTCAGCTTTATAGATGCAGGCAACAAGGATTTAAATTTTCATCAGTTTTCTTCCCTTCTTTTCCCATGCTCTCTTCATTAGTTCATTCAGCTTCCATTAATTCAGCTACAGTTGTTCCAGTTCAATTTATTTCTTCACAAAGGGCCTCGAGTAGATGCTGTTATCAGCAGAGGATGCTTTCATAGATTTCTTGCTGCGTTTTCCCCAGGTGATATGTAATTATCTTTAACAGTAGGAATGAGCAGACAAATACTGCCAGGCCTGCAGTGTTCTTGGCGCTGTGCTCTTCTCAAGCATGGACCAGTTTGCACTCTTACATGCACTCCTGTTGTCCCAAACACAGTCCTGTGTCTTTGTTATTTGTGTGGTTGCAGTTTCTGTAACTGAAACAAAATCCTTTTCACTAGCTCTGTTTGTTGAAAGTTTACCAATTTTGTACTGTTTTCTTACAGTATATTGCAAAAACTAGCTGCAAATTCTATCTTAGTGCTGATTTTTCCAAGCACAAGATTAGATTAATCAGTGTTTCAGAGACTGAGGTTACATTTACCATATACGTTTGCACTTCTTTATTTCAGGCTGTCATCAAAGAGCAGCTCCAGGAGTCCCATGGGAGGTGTGAATATGCTGTCTATGTTCAAGGTACGGCACGTGAGGCCCCTGAAAGACTTCCTTTGGCTAAAGCCAGTTACTTTTGATACAAGATACAGTGAGCACTTGGGGACAAATGAGAGAAACAATTACAGAATTCCCATGTAAATATGTCTGGCCCTTTTTGTAATGGACATTTTTCTGTTTTCTGTGCATTGGTGAGTTTGTCATCAGTTCCTCCTTGGGCTGGAGGCTCTTGGCCATCGATGCACTGCTCTTCCGTTGGGTTGTGTTTTGTTGTGTGCTGTGAAATGTGTTACAGACATTTGTTTTCTGTTAAAGCAATGTGCCTTGGGTGACTCATCTTACTCTGTGAATATCTTCCACTTCCTGTCCACCCTCTGTCCCCAGATCTTGGCCTTGCAGTTCAGAGAGGGCTGTGTGTCATCTCAGCAGTTGCTTGGGGTGGGAGAAAATGGAGAATTTTTGGCCAAGGAGACATTGCAGCCTGTAGAATTAGGAGGAGAGTGATCCAGACTGAATCTTAACGAACAGTTGGCCAGGGTTTTAAGATGTCTAAACCATAAAGAACAGAAATGTTTCCAAGCAAGCATGAGTCCTATGTGTGCGTTTTCCTTCTGTCTCAAGTTGCTGCGAGGAGGGGAAGGACCAAATGGGCATTGTTTTAATGTATCTGTACTCCCTGTTCTTTCCCTGCTGTCAGAGACACACTTTTCCTGCAGATAATGGACTAATTTGCCTGGTATGTTTTCTTACAGCTTTGATATTTCGCTTGGAGGGGAAAATTCAAGAATCTCTTGAACTGTTTCAGACATGTTCCATTCTGAACCCTCGAAGTGCTGACAACCTCAAGCAGGTGGCGCGATCGCTGTGAGTGGTGTTTGATTGTTTCACTTTGATGTGCCACCCAGGACCTTCCACGTTTTGTTTTTCTCCCAGGCATCAAGCAGAATCCCCAGCTGCTTAATTCCAAGCATGCTTCCTCCTCATCAACACTTGAGTTGCTTTCCAGAAGCGTGGGCCACCCTTTAAAGCACAATCTCTGTTATCTGCCTGGCTGCTATTGTTGTAATGTTTTCTTTTTTTTTTCATTTGTGCTTTAAGCAAGATAAATAGCACACCAATTTCCAGATCCAGAGCTAAAGTTGCTGCCTAGAGCTGTGTAAACTTGCCCTGCAGACCCCTTTCTGTCTCGGAGTGTCCTGTTTGCTTTTGATCACCTGTGTTTTCCCTTTGAGACAGAGGCAGATGACGGAGCTTGTGGATTCATTCCTTACATCTCCAGTCGCGTAATGGAGCACGGAATTGATGTCCTTGGCTCTGAAAGGAAGCAGTGCTGACTTATTGCTCAGATTACAAACTTCTCAGGGCTTCTCACTCCAGTCTCTGGAGAACTAGCAAATAGCATCATTTCTCAGTGGCAAAGGTGACGGTGGTCGCACAGCAGGGTTTCAAAGCAAGAAAAAAGTAAAAATGGAATTGCTTTCACAGGTTTCTTCTGGGGAAACACAAGGCTGCCATTGAAGTGTACAACGAAGCAGCTAAACTTGATGAAAAGGACTGGGTAAGTGTTTTGTTGCTTTGCAGATTACTGCACAATGCAGATGGTTCTCCATTTTTCTGAAAACAGCTGTAGATGCGTTCCAGGCAGAGGTAAGCTGATGTTGCCTGCAGTGTGAGCAGACAAGGAGCTACAGGGCCAAGAAGCATCGCCTTTTAGCATGGGCTCTTGAGCATTGAGGCTCTACACCCTCTGGTATGAGGGTTTCAGCCTTCAGATTTCAACCTACACATCCCACACCTTGTCCTGGGGCACAAACAGATGATCAAGCAACATGTTTGAACCTTGCTATCAGTATTAACATAGCCATTTATAGTATAAAGAGCTAGATTACCTTAAGGAAGGTATGGAAAATGCTTCCCTCTGTTAACATTAAACACTCAATTATCATTAAAACTTACTTTAGTAATTGGGAATCCTTTCATAATGCAAAAAATGAAAAAGATTACCCTCAAGTTAGCTAAGAGTTACTTCTTATCTACCAAGCATTACCTGCTTTGAAAAAAAATGTAGGCTGATAACTATAGGAGCAATAATTAAATTAGCTCTATCAGGACAAAAAAAATGTGAAGGAAGAACATTGCAGAGGGAAGTGTGTGACAGGTGGTGAGAAGAGAGAGGACATGGCTTTCACTTAGTTGTGGACAGCCTTTTGCAGGTGACTCTTTTGCCTGCAGAAGTGTTGTTTCTAAGACAGACTTGCCATGTGTGATCTTATTTCCTAAGACATCAGGCTCTTGCTGACTTGAGCTCTGCTTTTGGTGCTCAGTAGGTCTACAACTGAGGCTTGCTACAAGGATACATTTGGTATTATTCTTCTTGTCAACTCATCCTGTGCCAGTCAACTTGGAAACCTTGCCATGGGTTTTCTGTGAAGTCTGTCTTCTCTTAGCTGGCCTGGCTGCTTGTAGAATGTGCTTGGCATGGCTATAGCTTTATTCACAGCTGCAGCAGGCAGCCTTCAGTGGGAGTTTTGATCAGTTATTTCCTGCAGCTGGCTCGGTACTGGCAGTAGGGCCAGCCTGTGCTCTTTCCTTGTGCTGTTTTGTTCTACAAGCTGCAGTAACAGGGAGCAGCTCTTTGATTCATTACTGTTCTCCACAGATGGAGAGACTGCACTGAGGAAAGTATTCTGAGGGGGTTAATGGGTAAATAAGAGAGTTTCCTATCAAAGGTCAAGTCTGTCTAAACTGATGAAGCTTACCAGAATAGAAACAAGGAATTGTGGACCCTGCTTTTCAGCTCCCCAGGATGTGCCAGGGTGAGGAAGATGACAAGTAGCTTGGCAGTTACATTGCTGGCGTGATGGTTCCCTGAAGTGTCACCAGCATGTTTAAGATGCCAAAGTGATCTTCCAACTGTGTTGCAAACATGTTTAAACTGCCTGAGATGCTGGATTTCAGCCCTTCTGCTCCTTGACTTCTATTTCTTGGGTTGGAAGGGACCTTAAAGATCATTTGTTCAGCCGAATGCAGTGTTGTGCAGATCTCTGTGGGTGTCCAGGTAGGTGAGGAGCCACCTATAAGAGCAGCAGGTGTCAGCTTCACAAATCTCACTGGGAACTGAGTCAAAGCAGCCTTTCCTCCTGTTCTCCAAAGAGACCTCCATCATGCTGTGCTTCAGTCTCAGTGGGCTGTAGATTGCATGTGCCATCACGTGTAAGCTCTGTAGGCTCCTGAAGCAGATTGATTTCATTGATTTTATTTGAACAATAAAGCAAGCCTGTGGGCAGGTACAGGGGTCTCCCTGTCTGGGTCACCGATGACTATTGTCAGTGGTAAGTTATGTAATGCATCTCAAACCTCATCCTGACTTGGTTTTGTGTTGTTTCGTACAGGAGATCAGCCACAACCTGGGTGTGTGCTACATGTACCTGAAACATTTCAACAAGGTAATGCAAATGCTCGTCTTACCTACCTGACAGATGGGAGACAGGGCTTCCAGAAGTGTCACCCTGGTAGTTTCAGGTGGATCCTTTGCAACTATTGGTGTCAAGGAAGCTTTTTGCTTCAGTGTTCATCTCTGGAATCAAAAGATCATGAGCTGTGTCTGTTCTCGTCTGTGTGTTGAATTACTGAGTCAGCTGAAAAACTGTGAGCTTGGATGAGAGTGAACCTGAGCTTAGCCTTGTGGCTGGTCAGGAGGCATTTTCTGAAGTAAAGCTTTTCGGAGAGTGTTTGTGTTTTTAAAGAGAATGTTCAAGGAACCTCAAAGAGCTGCTTCAAAGTAGATGGAAAACCAGCAGTGCTCCACAAAGAGCTGCCTCTGTTTCAGTGCCTTTTAAAACTAGAGTGGTAAATGCTGCTTGTTTTGTGAGATGTGGCAATACCAGTTCCATCTTCTGGAAGCAAGACAAGTGTGATGGTTGAGCCCCCAAATGCTTCCCCAGCATATAGCTCAAACTGCTGCATCTTATGCAGAGTTTCTTTGATCTGAAGGAGCACTTGCTGCCCCGTATCTCTGGCAGGATTCAGTGAGTTATGGAGTTTGTGTTCTGGAGTTGTAGCAGACACCTCTTTCCCTGCCCTCCATGTGCAAGGTTTATTTCAGTGTTTGAAGCTGGTTTTGCACCAAGGCTGGAGTAAAAGACACAGAGAGGCCTAGCTGGAGTGTGGGCAGTGCTCATGCTTTGTAGCCAGTGAAGAATTTGAAGTGGAGTTTTGGTCCCTCGGCTGAGGTGATTAATTCCTCTGGCTGATCTGGCAATCCGTGCTTGCTGTTGGAGTAAGCATTGTAGTGAGGAATAAAATGTAACATACCTAAATATTAACCTGGCAAATCTGAAGCTTCCCTCTTACCAATGTCAAACACACGAACTTTGGTCCTCTCTTCCTTGGGTTACTGCCTCTCCTTTTGGCTCCAAGTTGATTTTTTCTGTCCCAGAAAGTGGTTCCTGATGCAGAACTTGTTTCAACACTTAGCTGGCTTGAGTTTGCTAGCAGGGCATTCTGAGCTCAGGGGGTGTTAGCTGTTCCCTTTCCCTAACTGCTGTGGATTGCTCTTGGGATGTTGCTTTGCTCTGTAATCACTGATTGTGTTTTTATTCTCTGTGGTTGTGTGTTTAGGCACGAGACCAGCTAAACAATGCCCTGGAGATGAACAGACACGATCTGACTTACATGATGCTGGGAAAAATTCACCTCTTGGAGGGGGAGACTGAGAAAGCCATCGAAGTCTATAAGAAAGCAGTAGAGTAAGAATGTGTATATATATATATATATATATATATATATATATATACACACACATTTACACCATTTTTGGTTTTTTTTGTTTTTTTTTTTGCTATCTGTCTATGTGCCAGGAGGAATTTGATGGTGTCCTGGATTTGAATTGAGGGCACAATTAAAAAGTTAATGGGGGTTCTAGTGTCTCTGTGCAAAGCAAGCACTTTCTGAGCTCTTCAGCTGTCTCTGCTCTCAGCTGTAGTCCTCCTCCTGCTGACAACGTGTCAGGGAAGAAGGTAGCTGTTTGAAGGTCTGCCAAGAAAAAGTGGAAAACAAACAGACAGAAATGCCTGGGAGCAAACATATCTCAAGCTGACTTCATAAATCCCAAAGGCTTATCTACCGAAAAGATTTCACCCCAGCTGTCTCTCTAACCCTGTCTGTCTCTCAAAAATCAGTTGTTGGGTTTCACATGCTGTTTTTGCTTGGAGTGATTTGTGTTTGAAGGAGAGTGAGTAGGCAGAAAGGAGATGGGCTGGTACACGGTGAGTTTCTCCCACCCTGTCACCATTTCTCAGTACTGATCTGTCTTGTTTTAGGGCATTCCTGAATGCCTGATTTAGCAGTGCTTTTAAAATGTAGGCAGAACACTAAAGGAAAGCAGGAGCATGCCAGAAGCCAGAGGAGGCTCTACAGTTTGTACTGGCTGTTTTCATATGCTGTTTCCTTACACACCTGCTTTTGGCTGCTGTCTGATAGTATGTTGGTTGAGTAGACATTTGAACTAATCTAGAATGTTTATTACGTAAATAATCCTTGCTAAGCATCTTACCAGCTTTATATTAGTTATCTTGGTGCCCCCTTCCCTGCCTTTTCTCATCTGCCCATGACATTTTGCCTGCTGTTAGCAGCTGCAGGAAAGTCTCTTGCTGCTCTCTGGGTACGTACCACCAGGCACAGCTTTTGCTCAGGTTGAGGTACCTGTGTGATTGAACGTATTAGATTTATTAGGATTTGATAGCAAGGTAAGTAAGGCCACAAACGTACAGTGGCCTTTTGTATTTTTTTGTTATTGTTGTCCTTTGCATCCTATTCATTTAATCCAAACCATCTGGGAGTGGGGCTGCATTTAGAAGCATTCACAACGTTGCTGCCTGAACCTCAAACTAGCACCGAGGGTTTGGGAGTTGCTTACAGTAATTGAAAATGCTAAGGATCTGTTTCTCTCAAGCCTTGCTGTGCTGAACAGCAGCATGTATCATCAGGAATGTGTTAAGTACCAGGGTAGTGCCTGTCTGAGCACCATGAATTGCAGTGTAGCACAAGGCTGTGGTGAGCAGCTTGGTATCTTATGGCAGGGTGAATTGGAAGTCTGGAGATGAACATGTAGAATCCATCAGAAGCACTGAGGATTGCCTGTCACACGTGGCCCAAGAAGGTGGTAGTGGATTTACAGGATGGTTTATGAGGGACGATGGGAAATCCCATCTTCTATTTCCAGGTCACTGATGCAGACTCGCTGTGAAGATTAATAAAACCACATTATCTTATTGTGCCCCCAGATCTGTTTCACAGAGCTACCTTCACTTCCTGTTAACATCCAAAAGGCAATTTGGAAGCTTAGATTACTGTTGGTCAGAGGAAGTCTCTGTGATGGTAACTGTTGTAGTATTTGGGTTTAATAGTAATGGTTTATTTCCTGGTTGTATTAATAGTGTAATGTAGCACAGTGATTCTGTTTTTACCTTGTTCTAGAGGGGCCAAATAACAGTGCAGCTCTCTGGCTTTTGTATTACAGATTTTCTCCAGAAAATACAGACCTCCTTACGAAACTGGGGTTAATTTACTTGCAGGTACTGAAAACTGTTAACTAGTTATTATATGAACTTATTTATTTGAAAAATGATGAGTTAATTTCTGTCTGTCTTCAACTGACTTGCACGCACTTCTGTATTTCACATGACAGTTTGCTTTTCTGTGTCTTCCTTTTTCCTTTTGCTGCTAACAGCAAGTTGATTTGAGCCAGAGCAGGAATTCTGTTTGGCAGCTGCCCTCATTCTGTTATAAATCCTCCAAGTACAGTCATTACCTTGTTGCTGGAGCTGTGGTCCAGCAAGTTAATCTGCTACAAAAGCAGCCATGAAATAGTTAGCACCAGTGCACCATAGAGGAAAAGAAGGGAGACTTCTTTCTATGTGAAGAGTGCCAGGAGCTTGGGGGCATTGTGGTGAGGGAATCGAGGATTTGCAGAGCTGCAATTTGTTTTATGGGGGAGGTAAAGGAGCAGAGGAATATCAACTTGAGTTCACCGTCTAGAAATGTCAGAGCACAAACAGTGCAGAAAGCTTTGTTTTGCTCAGAACGGTGAATCCTGCTCAGCAAAATCCATGTTTAGTATTTATTTTGTACATTACTTACCTGCACACACGTTCTTGTTTGATAATCAGAAGCACTGTAAAATTCACTTTTCTGAGTCCTTGTTTTAACTGAACTAGGAATTCTGGTGTCCAGAAAGTGTGTTCTCTTTCTAAACCCCTTATTGCTGCACTTCTCATCATTGCTTCTTTTCCCAGCTTGGCGATTACCAGAAGGCTTTTGAACACCTTGGAAAGGCGCTCACTTACGATCAGGGCAACTACAAGGTATCAGGAGTGGAAATGAACCGTTGTAGTGTTTTCCCATCTGCTGTTAATCCTGCCTGTGCTTCCAGCTGTTGAATACAGGTGTGACTTTTCCTTGGTTCTGATCTGGAAAGCTGAGCTTGGCATCTAGGTATCATAACTGACTGTGAAAGTGCTTCCCTTTTTGGACATGCTACTTTATTTCTCTGTGCCTTGTTCTCCTCCTATAGGATGTTAGCAATGTATAGTAGGGAAATGTGTGGTTGACAGCTGATGCATGAATACAAGCCAAGTGCTATTGTGAAAACACCTTTACACTTAGGAATTTTACTTGTCACCGTGATGTATTATAAATCGCTTAGCCAGCTTAGTGTGGTTTAAATATAGTGTGTTGGAATCACTTGCCTTCCCCTCCATGCATATTTCCATTAATTTGCAGTATCATCCAGTCAGTGTGAACTAGGCTAGCTTTTTTTGCTTTTTTTTTTGTTAACTCTCCTGTTAAGTTATACCAGAGCTATTTCTGTCTGTACTTGTTGGTGAAATGAAATGGAGTGCATAGATCTTCTCGTAGACTCGGGCTCTAGAGGTACCCTGCACCCCAGAACATACCCGAAGCACTTCTCACACTGTAGTGTTTCTGAGACAGTTATGACTGGGATAAGGCAAGAAGTGGGCCTGAGTCCCTCCTTGCCCTGACTTCACTTTGTGCTCAGAGATTCTAGAGCTCTACACTGTTGATCTCGGCAGCCCCCAGAAGGAAACGTGTGAAAAAGCTCCTCTTGAGATTTAGTTTAGTTTAGCTTTAGTTTAGGAGCTCTGTCCCCTTGCCTTCTTGTTGTGCTTGGGGAAGCACATACCCTCAGCTGGTCTCTCTTCTCCTGAAGGCTACGTTGGCAGCTGGCAGCATGATGCAGGCCCACGGAGATTATGACGTTGCCCTCTCCAAATACAGGGCTGTGGCCAGCAGCATGCCTGAAAGCCCTCCCTTGTGGAACAACATTGGGATGTGCTTCTTTGGCAAGAAGAAATACGTCGCTGTGAGTGTGGTTTCCTTTCTCCTTTCACCTGTATGAACCAAGAGCCCTGCTGGGGCAGACAGGAAGTCTCTCTGGGTGCACTGCTGTGCAGCACACTTCTTCCTTTGCAGGCTATCAGTTGCTTGAAGCGGGCGAACTACCTGGCTCCTTTTGACTGGAAGATTCTGTACAATTTGGGCTTAGTCCACCTCACAATGCAGCAGTACGCATCTGCTTTCCACTTCCTCAGTGCTGCCATCAACTTCCAGCCCAAGATGGGAGAGCTGTATATGCTCCTTGCAGGTAATGAAGTACTGTTACCCAGCTCTGCTGTGTAGCCAGCCTGGGAGATCAATGTTTTTCAGAGGGAAAGTTTGGGCTAAAGTAAACAAGTATTGGACACAAGTTGTATTTGTGAACAAATGACATTGAGTATTATCCTAAAAGTGAAGTCCTTGTGAAGCATCACCTTCTGTGTGTATGTTTTCCTGTTGTTCAGTTGCTCTGACAAACCTTGAAGACATTGAGAATGCAAAACGTTCCTATGAGCAAGCTGTGGCATTGGACAAGTAAGTCTTAATAATATAGGTCAGTTGATCATGTTGCTTTTCCTTCCTGCACCTGGTTTCCTTCATGTGCTTTATCCCTCTCTCCTCTGACCCTAAGTTTGCACTGGGGAAACATTTTTGTTCCAGAAGCAGTGCAAATCAGCTTTAAAACCTTTTTTTTTCATTCAGTTCTGAGAAATGAAAGAATTTGAGACCAAACCAAAGCTGGTTTTTATTTTGCTGTTTATTTAGTGAGTCAAGGGATGATGACTTTGGATTCCAGTCTTCCTTCCTGGGAATATGGAGCAGATTGAGTAAACCATTCATCCCAGAACATTTTGTAACTGAGCTTCAGCACTGCACAGAGCACTGAGAGACTTTTGGGATAAAGCCTTTCTGAACTGGGCAGAGGGAAGATTTTAGCTAGAAAAATGTGAGCAAGAAACCAGTACAAAGCATATAAAAGGGACAGTGGTGCAGCCCTTCCTCCTCCATTTTACAAGCAATGTCAGTATTGGGAATCTAGCTATTAAGTTCAGAGCACCTACTTTCAGAAATGTTAAAATGAGCCTTTCAGTATTAAAGATGGTTGTTGCCATTGTTTCAGGCAGAAGAAAAACACAGTTTTGTCTCAAATCTATGAATAGTTTTGGCTGCCTGGGTCTGCTTTTTCTTTCTTTCTTTCTTTTTTTTTTACCTTTCATGTTTTACCTTTCAGATATTAACTAGTAGGTGATGCTTCTCCCCAGCTTACTGCAAATATTGGCATGCTTTTGGAGCAGCCAGCACAGTGCTCCTGAGCCCAGCAGTTTGTATGCTGGCAGCAGAGCTGCAGGGCAGGCTCTTTCCATCTGCAGTGGTCACCATGAGGTGGCATGGATTGGTGTGCTTAAGGGAATACTGCTCCCTGTCCCCTCCAGCCCAGTCCAGACCAGGCTTAATTCTGGAACTAAAGAATTCTGGAAGTTTCTAAGCCCATTAAAACAAGCATCAAGTTTCAGAAATCAGTGTTGGACACCATAGTGCAGTTCTCTTTGCAAAGAGGTTCTGTAAATACTCTGAGATCTTTGTTGAGAATTGCATGGCTTGCATGCAGGACAGAGCTTCCATCTGGTACTGAGGTTCTGCATGAGTTATGCATCAACAAAATTGCAGAGTAGATTTAAATGTTACTTCTGCATCCATTCTAAATGTCAGTATGTCTGAGCAGTCTCCTCAGAGGAACTGAACTTGTACAAGCCATCATCAGACATCTGCAAATGCATTGCAGTGTGAGAGCATTTTGCAGTTATGCATTGACCCTTCCTACCAAAATTACTGACCAAAGTCCAGTTGACTTCTCTGCCTGGCTTTCCTGGTCAGACTTCATGCCTAGCAGGGGGTGCAGGATCTGAAGATTGCTCAGATGTAGTCAGACATAGCGGGTTTCTGCGCTTTGATCAGAGAGAAGGAATAGAAATGTAGCTCCACAACTTTGCCTAAAGAATTGGCAGAAGCAAGATGCTACAGCTTCAGTTTTACCAGGAAAATAAAACCTGATCAAAGCAAAAATGAATCCCGACTGCTAGTGGCTGCTGGAGGAATACCCACAGACTGGGAGGCCTTGTTCAGCTGACGTGCCTTGAGTTTCCTGCAGTTACTTAGTGGCTGAATCCCTGTCCCCACAGGCTTCCTTCCCTGACAGGTTAGGAACTGCCTGGCCTGGATGTGTTTTGTTTTTATTGCAGGATCAGTGTTCCAATTTCTCTGCTAAAGGAAATCCAATTGTTATGAATGCTATCAGGTTTCTTCTGATGGTCTCTTCCTTGCAGCCCCGTCATATAACTTAGGATGGATGGCCCTGGCCTGCAGATGACACTTGCTGTTAATTGAGCGGCAGCAGGAGCCTTCTCTCCTGCGCCTTTCCCCATGGGGGCGCGGTGCCGGAGACCTGCATGGCTCCAGCTATCCCTGCCTATTCCTGCCGTGCTCCAGGAGAGGGCAGCAGTCCCTCGCTCATATTTCTTGAGCAAAACGCACAAAGCATCCCTTACTCTCCTGTGTGCAGAGATACACGTCCGCGCCTCGGTCTGGCTACAAGCGGCCTCTGCTTTTCCAGGGCTGAGCCTGGGTGAGAGAGCAGCAGCTCCTGGGGCAGGGCTTATGCCCGCCTTGCGTTTTTCTTGGTCAGACAGTACCTGTGCGTTCTGCTTCTCTGGAAGCTTCTCTGCTCCCCTATGGCAGCACACACACTTCTGATTTTACTGGGGAGGGAGTGAGAGGAGGCAGGGAAAATGAATTGTAAACAGTGTGTTCTGTAGTGTGTCAGCCTGTAGAATACCACCAGTGAGGCCCTCCTGCTGACCTGACCCACCCTGAGCGCTCTCCCACCGACCAGCAGAGCTGTAGGGGCCCGAGGTAATCAGCACAGAGATGACCTCTTCTCCCACAGTGAACGCATACATCCTGTGTGTGCTGCAGGTGCAATCCCCTCGTCAACCTGAACTATGCTGTACTGCTGTATAACCATGGGGACAAGAAGGGAGCCCTCTGCCAGTACCAGGAGATGGAGAAGAAGGTCATTGCACTGAAGGAGAGCAGCACTCTCGATTTTGACCCTGAGGTATGTGCTTAAGGAGTTGTCAGCAGGAACTAAATAGCCACATTAAGGCTGGCAACAAACAAGGGGGAAGTTTGACTTTTGAGTTGAATTACTAGGAAAAATTCTGCTTATGAGATTTTCTAAGACCGCTCTAAGTAGAGCAGTCACCTGCTGCGAGTTGCATGCTTCATTTCTGCTCTTTGAAGCCCAGTTCTTCAATCAATACACAGCAAGACAAGATTCCCTCTTAATTAAGGGATTGAATTAGTGGAGATGTTTCCCTCGAGCACCAAGGCAGTTGCCAGCCCCACACAGCTCTTTTTCTCTGTTGACTTCATTTGTCTGAAGTTGTCCCTGTCTTCTCTTTTTGTTTTGTTTGAGAAGATGGTGGAGGTTGCCCAAAAGATGGGAACTGCCCTGCAGGTCGGGGAGAGCCAAGTCTGGACGAAGCCTGCTAAAGAGTCTAAATCCAAGCAGCGAGCTGCTCTGTCAGGGAAGTCTGCCAGCACACAGCAGCCATTGGGCTCCAACCAGGCCTTGGGTCAAGCCATGTCCTCAGCTGCTGGCTATGGGAAAAGCATGCAGCTTCCACCAGGTACCTCTCTTTTGTGTCTCTGTGAAGTGAAACCATGGGAAGGGAGAAGAGAAACCTCTCTCCCTTTGGTTATGGCATGTGTTTAGGGAGGTATTTACTTACTTACACAGAGCTTCAGCCTTATAAGGCTTAGGCTGATAGCTGTATGTGCTGCAGCTTGCTGTGTGGGAGCATCTCCTGAGCCATCGCTTGCATCTTGACCTCCTCTCACCCCTCAGCTTCCCAGGAGCAATGCACTAGAGCCACTGCTCACTGCAGTGATTTTCTGTCACTCTGTGTTTTATTTCCTGTGGGTTGGCACAGGAGGAAGGTTGTGTAATCCAGGCCATTTCTGTGGCACCCCTAAGGACCTGCTCCGTTTCTCATGGAAGCTGAAAAATAAAAACATGTGGAAGTTCAGGGGTTACCTGAAATGCCTTATCATCCACATCAGCAAAGCTGGCTCATAAGATTAGCTGTCAGCTTAAATATAAGCGTAGAAACAACTTCAGCGTGGCAGTGTCCTGTTTTGATTTTGTTCTGTAAGGAGCTGTTAACTGCTGGGAAGCTCTCCCTGAGATTGCTGAAACTGTGAGCTGAGAACTGCACTGTGGCTTTGGTTACAGTCTGAGTACAAACCAGATGCAGTGGAACTATTTTCCCTTCCAAAGCTTGAGTTAACTCCTGAGTTTCTGCTGACTTCTTGTGGCAGCCCAGCTGAATGAGAAACTGCCTCAGCTTCTTTTCAGCAGAGTTGCAAGTACTGTCATGTCTCTGGCTGGATAAGTTGCAGAAGAGTTGAGTGCTGCTGGTAAAATTCATGCTAGGCAGAAGAAATCAGAATAAAAAAAGAGCTGCAGTTGTTTTGTGTCTCCATGCTGCTCAGGTGCCAAAGAACGCACAGAATGTATGCAATCAACTTTTAACTTCTCTCCCCAGGTGCTGGAGCATCCACTCCCCTTGCAAAGCCTCCCTCACTGCCCCTGGAACCAGAGCCGGGCTCAGAGCCAGGCCCTGAGGTGACCTCAGCACCAGCAGAGGCCGAGGAGCAGCGGCAGGAGAAGCACAAGAGCCGTCAGGCAGCAGACTAGGAGGGGCTTGAGGCAGCAGGGGCAGGAGTGGGAAATTCCAGTGCTGCCTGACCTGTGGGGCAGGGACCTGTCCTCCTCTGACCTGGAGTGGCTTCATCCCGCTGTCAGTTAGTGTAGATGTGGTGTTTCTGTCAGTGATTTTAGCACGAGGTCTCTGCCTTGTCCCAGGAGTCACTGAGGCAATGAGAAGAGGACACTACGTAGCCACTGAGTGCATCACACCTTACTTCATCAGGAGTCGGGAAGATGGTGGCTCGGCAGGGAGTCTGCAGCAGCACAGAAGTCAGCCAGTCCTAAATTCCAAATTCTTTGCTGACAAACAGGGTGAATGAGGCTCAGCAAAGCCCTGTGCTCCTGTGATTGGAGTTCTTCCTTTAGAATTAGTATTGCCCAACATGGGGGAAAAGTTGGCTTGCAGAGAAAATAAAGATCTTTTCTGAGAAAGCTTGCCATGGTCAGCTTCAGTGCTGAATTTGTTTTAGCAAAGCAGCAGCCATGCTCTGAAGAACAGAGTTATGAACCTTGTGAGAGTTTCAGGAGATTCAGTTCTGTGAGCTGCAAGAAGGCAAAGTAGTCCCGTGGTGAGCAGAGCAAGAAATCTTAATGCCCCTCTGCTACTGAGATGGTGGAGAACTGTTTTTATTCTCAGAGAGAAAAATCTTAGCCTTCCTTTCTCCGCTCCTATCAGTTCTTTGTATCTGGATTTAGCCAGAGCTTGACACAGGCCCTCAAAACAACTGTGCTGGGGAACTAAGCTGAGCCTGTCATGCTTTACGTAAGGAACCAGTAACTGGGTTAAGTAAGTGTAGTTTTCACTCTTCCTCCCCTCTGCGTACAGAGTTGTGCTGCTGTGGGACTTGGGATTTCACTTCTCCAAGCAGAAAGTGCAGCACTTTCAGCCCAAGGAAGCTGTAGCTTCAGGAAGGCTCAGCTCATATGCTAATAAGCCTGATGAGCTTTTAAAAATATAGCTCCTGTTTTTGCATGGTTTCATAATCAACACATCCAGTGGAGCGAGGTTTGTAATGGAAACCTTTCTGCAGCAGCCTGTAAAAGCAGCATGACCACGGCCCTGGATATCTTAATGTCCTCCAGCAGTGCTCTCCGGCTAGCTGCTTTTCCCCAGAGCGACGTTAAAGTGTTTTCAGTGTTTTTGTTACTGTGGTTTTAGAGAGGGACCCAAAGCGCTGCCCTGCTCCCCAGGGGCCACTAAAAGTAGGATCCTTTTGCTTTGTCTGTTTTGATTGCCAAAACTACCTGCTTACCTCAAATTCTCTTTGTTTCATCTGTCCTCTGCTGGTTGGCTTTCTATCAATCCATCCCTGCAGCAGCACTCCTTTAATGCTTTCCTTCTGCTAGGAGCAAAAGGAATCAGAGGTTTTGTGCAGCAGCCACCAATTGAAACAAACCAGACGAGCAGCAGTGTAATTCAGGTACAACACAGCTATTTTATTTGCATTAAACTTTTTACACTGCAGATTACTGTGGTGTAAGGGAGTGCCTGTGCAGGGGAGGCCAGGAGTACAGAGCAGGGGTGGGCTGGGAACGCTCCCTAGCCCCTAAAACCTTTTTGTGTTCTTCTGTAGCCAGTGCTTGTCATTGTTTGGGCTTACCATAATGGGTGGCAGGTTTGGGAAGTTCCAGTACAAGGAGCAGCGGGTGGAACAGAGTGGTCACAGCATTGCTGATACAAGGAGCTTTTCCCTCCTGCTGCTTGTTGTAAGGAGGGTAAGTTTAACTTCAGGACTGTGACATTAAGGAACTGCTCTGGGGGAGCAGCCTTGTCCCACAGGTGGCCATAGGAACCAGGACCACTGCTTTCAGAGTACAGCCTGCCCGAGGCATGTGAGGCTCTTTGCTCACCCAGTCCCACCTGTGCCAACTGTTCTCTTCTTGGCTGCTAGGGGCTCTTATAGGGCAAGTGCTGTGTGTTACTCCATGGGGTGTGCTGCTTGGGGAGGCACTGTAAAGGTGTTTGAAATATTCCTTCAAAGGTACAGAGCTTTATGCAGATGATTAATTCTTCTGTGAAAAAGAACAGTAGCACCTTCTTACTTTCTGGATTTTGGAAGGGAGCAGCAGGGAGCTTCACGTCCGAAGAAGTGTTTTTAAATATGTAATCATGTTAGATAATAAATATTACTGCAGTTCTTTGTCCTGTCCCCTCTCCTCTTCCTCCCAGGGGCTGCAATGGCAGTATTTGCATGCAGAAAATTCACAGTGTATTTATAGAGGCTTTCTGTGCTCTAGTGATGGGAATGAGGTTGGACTGTTCCTTCGACTGAAATTAGGCAAGGAGTTTTCCAGCAGGCCTGTACCAAATCACAGAAGGAATTTGGAAAGCACCACTTCTGTTCCAAAAGCTGCTTCTGGCATCAGCCATAATTCTTACTTTGGTGTTGGCTTTATTTTTCCATCCTAATTAAAAATGTAAGATGCAAAAGAATAATGAGCTTAATTTCTAGGGAAGCAGAAGCCACCTGCTTTAGGACATTTTGTTTCCCTTTTCAGAAAAAAAATGTTCATTAGTTAATAAGGTCAAATCAAACTGCTTACACAAGGCGGACTGCGAATTGATGTCCTCTCAGGGAAGAAACCGAGACTGCAGCTCTCAAAGCCTGGGCAGCAAGACCTTGCTTCAGCCAGAAGCTCCTGTCCCCCCACCATGGGGTGGAGGTCCCTGAGGCAATGGGATGTGGGCTGATGCAGCACTCCCAGCCACTGCCCCTGTTTGCCCACTTGTGGTCAGGGACAGACAAGGTGGAGCAAGGTAGACCCTGTCTTGCATAAGACACAAGCATTGGAGATTTCCCTCTTGGGAGGGGCAAGGACTTTTCTGCAGAGGCAAACAAACCTCAACACTGAATGGAGAGTGGTGAGCTTTACTAAGTAATTAAGTTCCACACACAGATACACTACAAAAGGACACGTAATACAAGTAATTTATCTGCCACGACTGGTTTCTATGAAAACAGTTCCACCACAAGGAAAGCTTGCATCACCCTCTGAAACCAAACTGCACAAAAATCAGTTTTCTGCAATGGTTCTTGAAACAGGTGAGCTTTGAATCCAGTTTTAACCAGGCTGCACTGAGCAGCTCTCCTGAGAAGATCACGGGTGAGGTTTTCAGAACATTTCTGTTTCCACTTGCATTTTAATGCGATTGTTCACCCTTAGCTGCCAGGATTTGTTTCCTTCAGCTGCTATGAGCTCGGGGAGGGCTGGTAGCAGGTTCACCTTCCAAAGGGACAGTGACTGTTTGGGACCAATGCCTCTCTCAGGTTTCTGGTGCAGAAAGCAATGCCCAGGCATGCTGTTTCCAACCTGCATCCATCGAGAAGAGATTAAGAAGAGAACTTAATCTGACATATCTAAACAGAGAAGAGAGATTGTTTTTGCATCTACAATAAAGTTTGGCTAAAGAGTTTCATCAGACTCTACTGCTAGAGGGGAAGGCAGACAGGAGTGAGGTCGGGAAGTATGTGAGGCAGAATAGGCTGCAAAGAGGTCTGCTTGCCCCAGCCTCTCAAATCTCTAAAACAAAGCACAAAGAAAAGCTTCAATGTTCCCATTTCCCTCTCTTAAATCTCCCTGCCTGACGGTGGGATGTGAGACAGACTTGGTTAAGGGCTCTGCTGTAGCTGTTTCAACCAACAAGTCTACAGGTGTATTTATTTTTCCCCAAAATGAAGCTACTACTGTGGTATGATCACTGAGTTTAACTTTAATTCTGTACTTTTATCCAAACTTTCACTGCTTCATGCCATTAGTTCTCCAGTCCATTAAAAACCACTCAGTACTCATAAGACAAACAGGCCACGAAAGTCCTGTCAGATGTGCTCCAGCCATGTTTCACAGTAAAAACAAAACAAACCACCCAAGAACTAAAAGCAACAGTAATGCAGTGGGGATGGATAAGAACACCAGTCCAGGGACAAGTTTTAGCCCTCCCTCTTAAAGGTACTTCAGGGGAGTTAATTGCATCCTGTGCTGACTAAAAACCTGCTACCCGTTTCCGTTTCTGCTGGTCAGCAAGGTGTGTGAAAGCAGATTGAATGTAAACGTGTAATATTTGCGTTGAGTACAAGCAAGAGTTACCCTTGGGACAGTTACCTGATTCTAAATAGCCAAAATAGGCTACCACAGCCCAACAAACCTCCTGTCAGCAAATGTTTTTGGAAGAGAGCTGGGAAGCAGAGCAGCAGGACCGTCGGTCGTGACAGCTGTGTGTATTTGGTTTGCTTTCGTTTCCAGCTCGAGAATCCCTGCTGCCTGGTCCGATGCCAGGGAAGCTGCTGGTGGTCCCAGCCAGCCATGATCAAAGGTTACAAAATGCCCCTGCTAATGGCCTCAGACCTCTCAGACGGTTGTCAGGAGACATTTTTTATTTGGTTTTTTTTTTCCTGTAGGAAGACTAAACCAGAACTCCGAGTCCCGCGCTACAGTTTATAAATAATAAGTTTTAAAAAGACACTGAAGAGAAAGGCTTCCAGTTTAAGAAGATTCTGCACTAAGATAGATACTGAGAGCCAACGGAAGGCCAGGATGGGACACGCAATGGGAAAACACAGCACTGACCATTTCTCCTCTGGTACAACACAGACAACTTTGCTCAGAGGGAGAGGAGCAGTTAAACACATAATGACAGATAACATTTTACATGACGTCCATAGATGTTCAAACAGCTATCAATCTTTGTCCTTACAGAGTATTCACAACGGTGTTTTCCACCAGGAGAACATCACTAACTGCCATATAGCAGCCTTGCTGAAACAGATCCCTCCAGCCGAGGAGATCCCGACTCTCCTCCCTGCTGCTTGGATGCAAACAGTGACCTACAATCCTGGTACAGCACAGACTTGCATGGACACACTGGCTGCCTTTAATTATCACACTGAAAATATCTGTATGATAGCTATGGAAATAGGACCTGGAAGTGGACAGAGACAAAGCTATGCTGGAAAAGAGACAAAAAGAATACTGATGCTGGACAATCAGTGGTGGTCTATTACCAAAAGGTAAAAAATATAAATAAAGTATTAAACAATACACAGATTAAACAAAATTTCTAAACTAGCAAGGCCATGATACTATTCAATTGGACTGATAAGACACAGCTCTATTTTTTTTTTTTAATTTCAAAGGCTGTCCAGAGCAAAGACAGCCTAGTGACCTCATCAAAGAAAAAAAAAGCTCCTCCCATCAGGCTTCCCTGCAAAACACTTAGAGCTTCTGAGAGCCTTCCCCTAATAAATCCATCTGAACAGAAGGCAGCGAAACTGTACAAAACTACACAGGAGTTCCCAAATAAAAAGTTAGTCTCCAGCACTCAACTGGTTGCTGTAAGCTGTGCCCCATGTAAGCAGCTGTTAGCAAAAGGAGCAAGCAGCGAGCCCCTGTGGCTGTGGCTCTTGGCATTTAGCATGTAGCACACAGGTCACGTTTTGTTGTTTACCCGACAAAAAAATAAAGCTGTCTCCCCAAATATAAACCCTGAATATCTTCACTTTCAGTTGCCCCAAGACTAACTGCAGGCAACGAGTTGAATCTTGTCAGTCACAGAAAGAACAGATACCCAAAATAATTTAAACTGCCTTGAGCCCACCTGTGCATTCAAGGAGTGGGTACAGTGTTGCATCACATTTTCAGGCTCTGGCTCCCTCCGCTGCAGGGGCACTGAGGTTGAGAGGTAATTTTGTCAGGAACAGATTTCATCAGCACACTGAATGAGCGGAAGGTTTGCTCCTGCCACCTAGCCATGTGCTGTGAGGAGATAATGCAGGAGTTTTCTATTTTTACTTTATCATAAGCAAGACAGGGCTGAGCAGTGCTCTGCTCTCCCTGGGATCCATGGGGGAGGAAGCTCTCAGGACTGCCACATTTTCCAGCACTAGCAGACAAGGCCCATGTGCAGTTACAAAGAGCAGACCTCCTCCAAATATGGATTTTGATTATTTGTGTCCCTCCCCAAATACTTAAGACAAAGAAAAGCCAAATTTTCACATTAAATACGAAAACCTCTGCACTGAAACGTGAAGTGTTCTAGTCACTGCAAAGTGACTGGAATGTATCTGACAGTTTACACCTGGAATTATTCTTTGGCTCTTCTGTTATATCCAGAAAACATATCGCACCCTGATTCTGTTCCTATATCAGCACTGGCTGAAATCCTAATGATAACAGCACGGTTCCTCAGACACCGCACAGTACTGGAGACAAAGGGGACCTCAGTCTTCTACTGAAGATTTATTTCTGAGTATAGCAGTCCTTCAGCTGAAATAGCATCCCCAAGTCCCACGGTCCGCACAGGATCTTTGCACACCAAAACAGGAGTGAAATGGAAGGAGATGCCTTCTCTGTGCCAATGCACCACTGGCTCATCTGGATTTAAGGATATTTTGGAAGGTGCCTCTATCTGGGAGGTCACAAACTCCAGAGGAGCTTTAAGAAAGACTCTGCTAGTATCGATGGTTTCGGTCGCGCAGGCCTGCGCCCCTGCCGCTCTGGCTCCGGCAGCCACGGCAGCCACCTGGTTGCCCCAGTGCCCATCCACTGTGGCGAGGATGTGGTAGGCCAGCGTGTGGAAGTGGATCCGTGTGAGATCCGAGGCCCGGTCCGCAGTCTTCCCGTGCTCCTTCAGGATCCAGAAGAGGATGTCGCTGACGGCACCCACGTCAGGGACGCCATTCCAGGAAGCCAGGGAGGCGTGGGGACCAGAGGCTGACTGCGTGAGGAAGAGCAGCTCCTGCTCGTTCAGACCAATGGAGTTCACCAGGGGAAAGACCTGCTAACAGGAACATGGGAACAGGAATTTTTCTCTCAGAGAGAGATCAGACTGCATTCTCATCCATTCTACAGAAGTGTGTTACAGTCTGCTGACGATTGTACATTTTGTGCAATTAATTTTCTAGACACACTTTAAGGAGTAATCAAGTATCAAATCCAATGAAACATTCCTAAGACTGGGATTGAAGCCATGTCAGCTCTGACAGTGGACCATCTGGACTTGAAAGGAGGAAGGACTGCAGGAAATTTTTTTTTTTTTAATTAAAAAGCTCAAATTTAAATCCTTATTTTTCCCTAAAAATCTGCAATCCTGCTAAATCTATACCAAGTTTGTTGAACAGTTGCTGAATAAGCTCAGATCCACAAAAAATGCTACTCCATGGTGAAGATGACCTGATAATCAACCACAGAAACTTCCAAGGAGACCACATTCTGTGAGCTGAGAAAAACAGATCTGTCCTCTACTAAGCCCCAAGTCACTGCATTGAGCTGTTAATATCAGCAGAGAAAAATCAAAGTGTTCAGAATGCATCAGCTGGCATTAAACCCACATTCTTAATTTTTCATCAAAGGGACTAAGAAAACTAATTTCAAGTTTTCTTTTCTCTGTTCATCTACCAGTCTGTACAGTGTGATGCTGAAGGAAAGGAAACTGATTAAGAGAGCATGTCCTCTCATTTTTGTTACCTGATGCACAATGTTGCTCATAAAGTCCTGATCAGTCATACTGGCCAGCTCCAGGTGTATAGGAATGTCAGTAGGAATGTCAGAGATGGAGGCTACCGCCTGCAGGGGCAAAGGCAAAAACATCTAAAACATTCCTGCTAAAGGGAATAAGAACAACTTTAAACAACTTGTGTTTTTCAGAGTGCCAGAGCTGAGCTGGGGGTAGGTTAGGGTCAGAATCAGTTTTCCTGCAGTCTGTTTCAGAAACATGAGAAGTCTGAAACAGCCATAAAACAGTTGATGTTAGAAGAGAAAAAAGAGTAGCTTGTTGAGATGGGCACTCAGGTGTAAGACAAGCAACATGGCACAGCTCCTTTGGGCTCAAAAGTGGATGTTGACATTTGGGTTATCTAAGAGATAACACTTAAAGAAGTCTTGATTATAACTTTGATCATCTTAGCATGTGGAACAGAAAAAGTGTGATCAGTCACTATACAGGCTTCAAGAACGATGTCAGTCTGCCCTGCCAGCCAGTCAGCACTAGTAGAGAACTTTTTTTGCTGTAGACAACCCACAGAATCCAACAAGATTAGACAGTGCCATTCTTACAGTTTGCATTCTTCTTGTAGCATGCAGAGACCTGAAGATGTGGCCTACTTACAACTTCAAGCCTGGGAAGCCAAAAGTTTGCTGGGGCACATTTGTTGGAGTGGAAGTTAAGAAGTTGCTGGTGTTTGAGTGTCTTACCTCCATAAGACGTCTGTGTCTCATCTCCCTGCTCTGGCCTTCCATCATGTGCAGTCCTGAAAGTACCACGAGATCAGGCTGAAACTCCTCCAAGCTGGACACGAACACTTCCAGCATATTTAGGGCTCCATTTGATAGGTCATGGGAGAAGATAAAGCGGTTGGCGTTGGGTGCCTTCACTTGTCCCCACTCTTCACCTAGGGTGGAGCAAAGAGGAACATTCAGAAGAGAAGCAAATCAGACTACGTATCTAGAGATTATTTTGGGGGATATCCTGCTGGAATCTGGAGGCATGATTTTCCAACTAACAGCTACTGCCAGCACAATTATATCTCCATGTCTGCTTAGGATATCAACAAAGTGCAAAGTATGCTTCATTTCTGTAGCTGCAGCACAGGAGAATACAGAACCACAGGGATGGCAGCACAGCAGCATGAGACAGTATTTACAGTAACTGCATTACAAAGAAATAAAGTTTCAAAGGAACGTAAGATGTCTGTTTACCTACCACAGCTCCCTGCAGCGCAAGGAATTACCAGATTAGCCCACTGACAGCTGCCAGCACTGATAACTTACATGGTCCTTTTGGAATTAATTGATTCAAAAACCGCCCCAAGAACAAATCAACAAACTTTAAAACCAAGAATATCTTTGTGATGTCCAGGGTTCCCATCTAACATTCAGCTTTTGGCAAGGTACCTGCTTGATATTCCAGGATAAGATGGAACTCATCTCTTTCCTGCATGGATTCAGGTGGCACAACCACATTGTCATCTAGTAGTTCATGGAGCTTGGGACCAACTGGGCCACAAAGGAGAATCTAGGAAACAAGAAAACCAATCAAGGATCCCCTGCCAGTATTTCAGTTCATAGAAGTAGCCATCTTTCTCTATGAAAGCCACTCCATGAATGCATCAGTCCCAAATTCGGTGATCTCCTCCTAGCAGTAGCTGATGAGACAGCTCTCACACAGGAAAATGTATTCCCTTCAGTGTTTGGTTCACTTTCCAGAAATCTTGACTTAAGCCATCACAGCTTTACAGCTGTTCACTTTTCCAACCTCACTGTGAGGATCTTACATCAATCTCTTTCAAACAATGTGGTCTCCACATGAACACCTGAAAAAAGAAACCTGCTTCTACTAAAACAAGAGAGCAAAAATTGAGAGGATTAGGATGACACAGGGATTTGTATTTGTTTTATTAGAGGGAAGATGAAGACAAAAGACAATAACTCAAAGGGAGCAATAAACTAGCAACCATTTCCTAGAAAACAGATGTAAAATATTAAGAATTAAACAAATCAGCTGTGCTTTTCAGTCTATAAGGCCAATGATGTGTTCCGCTGTACCCTAAGAAACAGCTCCAACCTGCAAGACCTCCCAAATCTACAGGGATGTACTGTAAGCCTCATTAAAGATGAGCAAATAGTATGAAATTCTTGGAACACCTACCTTCAGGTCTGGATTTGCTGCAAGCTTCTGACCAATGAGAGCAGCATTGCCTCCAACGTAAAGCTGTAAAATAGAAGGGCAGGTATGGGCATTGCCTTGCTTTGATAGCTTTACACATGCTTAGTCACCTGTAGAAGACTCAAGATTTTAGCATTTCAGAAAACATTCCAGCATTAGAGAATTCAGCAAAGCTCACTGGGGCTGATGGCAAAACAACTACAGTTCTCTGTCAGATGTCAACAAATTTAATGTTCCCTGTTTTTTTTAACCTAAGTACTTGTCCTCAGGTAAAGCACAACCCTCTAACGAATCAATTAATATGTAACAAATATTCCCTTTTATATCTCTGCAAGTTTTGAGGGGTTTTTTTTTGTTTGTTTGTTTGTTTGTTTTTAAATCAGCAAAGCAAACTAGCAGTCATTTAAAAATTACAACAATATTTCATCCAGTTTGCAGTCAGGGTTAGAACTGCTACCTGTGCCCACACAACGTGAGCAGAACTGTGGAAGCTGCTTCTGCATTAAACAGTTTGGGACAATGAGCTAACTGTCAAATAGGTACCACGTAGATTCAGAAGACCCAGTATAACCAGAGCAAAAGAGCTTTGCTTCTGGAAAGGCAGGCTTCAGGAAAATTAATTCTTTCTTTTCATCACCCCAACTTCTAGAGAGAATTTGAATCCTGCATTGAAGTGCTGAAGCTAACTGGAGTGCTCCTAACACTCGGATCCATTTCATTGCTTTCTGCCTCATTACAAGACATTAGAGCCTTTTTGATATCGTCAATCCCATCTGGCTCACATGAAATGTAAAAATATCTCCAGTAGTATTCATACAGAGCCATCCTGGATGGACATTTTGGTTTGAAGAATGCAAGCAAAGCACAGGCTATTCAAAGCCCTACTACTCAGTGCAGAGTTCTGTTCTTAGCTATAGCATCGTTCTTTCCCTAAATGACTTGTGCTCTCCCTAGAAAGAACAGAAGTCATCAATGATGCAGAACATAACAAACAAGCTTCTCAAACCTTATCTTCATGGGCGAGGCATACCTGTGCACCAGGGTGCTCCGAGGCAGTCTGTGCTATGTGATGGAAGGACTCTGCGTCGCTGAAGAAGCGTTCGGCAGCCGCTCCTTTCTCCATGAAGTGAGTGAATGCTTCTCTCAGGTCCTGTCTGGAGTTCAGGACGTCATGATTTTTTCCCAGCCCAGGTTTAAGACCAAGTGCCTCCAACAACTTCACACCGGACAGAACCACGTCGACGCAGGCATTGACACTGAAATAGAGAAGGAAAATGTATACTGGGAAACCACTGTGTGCTGGGGCACTTGTGAGACAATACAGTGACATCACTTCCCAGCCAGCGAGGTCTGCTGTGAGTTCTGGCAGCCCTCAGGAAAAAACAACCAACCCAATGAGAAAAGCAAAAACACAGAGATATGAGTTTCCTGCAGTTCTGAATTTCGGTGCTCTCCTCTTGACATGTTTTAACTGTGCTCCAGCACAGGGCCGAGGAGATGGATCTCTGAAATTCCAATGAATTAAAACAAGAAAGCATAAGCTGCTTATGTTCAGTGCTGGCTGTGTGTGTTCTAATTTGTTTTATACTTCATTTGCTGTCCTAGGCTTGCTCAAAAAAGAGCAGGCACAATAATAATAGCATTTTTAACTTTTAATTCCTAGAACAAAGACATTTTTATTGTCCTAGTTCTGGTTTAAGACCTGCAGGCAATTCAGAACTGTTAAAAGCAAAGCTGAAAGTATTTAAATCTACCCATCAACCTCACGAATTTCAACTACCACTAACAAAAAGCAAAACCACATACATGACAGCCCATACCTGGACCAGCTCTGTTTACAAGAAGTCAAGTGAGACAGTTTTCAGTTGAAACACTTAAAGACCGCAACTTCCAAAGCACCCTCCTAAAGTTTCACAGATAGCCCACCTCCTCCTCTCAAACAGAAGAACAGAAGAATCCAGCACCAGCTGGGAAGTTATAAGGGCCGACCTGGCAGACTTGGATGAAATCACACCTGTGGCACAAGCCTTCCAGTCCCCACTCCTTACAAACTACAGCGATTTAAGCACACTGAATCGAATTCAAAGAGAGCAGGCAAGTTTCTGGGCTGGAAGCAGGTCCCCAGCAAGCATCTAGCATGCATTACTAGTTTATTTCAGGGCAAAATTATGAGTACTTGTTTCTATTCCTGGGTTTCAGAGAGATATTTATATAAGCAACATATTTACTAAGCTGACATGAGCAATAACTGTAGCATTTTCTGGGGCTGTGCAGCCCAGAGAGGAGAAGACTGTGGGGAGACATGAAGTAGCCTTTCAGCATCTAAAGGGGCTGTAAGAAAGAAGGGCACAGACTCTTAAGCAGGGTCTGCTGTGACAGGACAAGGGGAAATGGTTTCAAACTACAGGAGGGGAGATATACACTGGATGTAAGGAAGAAGTTTTGCACGCTAAGGGCAGTGAGGCAGTGGCACAGGTTGCCCAGAGAGGCAGTGATGCCCCATCCCTGCAGACACCAAGGTCAGGCTGGGGGGCTCTGATGTGCAGCAGGTGAAGGGGGTTGGACTGATGGCCATTAAGGGTCTCTTCTACCTCAAATGATTCTATGGTTCTGGAGCTGTTCTTAAGTGTGCTTTCCCCTACAATTCTGTGGTTCTGTTCCTCCATCCCATGCTTTCATAACAAGGATCCAAACAATCTCCAAAGCTTTCCCAATATCTCCAACCTACTCAGCATCTGTCCACAACACTCTGAATACCGCCGCCTGCTTGCATGCCGGCTCAGAACACACAGCCATTCCTCCTTGTCAGTGACCTTTGATGCAAGACTCGTTCCCAAGGCTGCATCATACAGAATAAAGGACATGAAAAACCTCAAGGGTTTTCAGTGCAGGTTGTAACACTCTTCATATTAGAACAGAAATCCTCCGTACTGTGCATCACCTGATACGCTAAAGAGAAAAGCCTTGCAGAGAAAAGCAGAGAAGCAATAAGCATCAGTGGCATTTTAGCCACACTCTCGCTGCAGCAAAAGGTCAGCAATCTCATGTTTTAATGATCATTAAAGACACAAGGGGACATAAACCAAGTAACAGTTCTTTCAAGTGAGACGCTTCTAATCATCTTCCAGCTGTCTTCCCTCTCCCTCCTCTGCTGACACACTTCTTGCTTTCAATAAACTCCCCTAACAGCAGGAATGTGCTGCTAATGAACTGCTTCTGCTGGTGAACTTTGAGGCCTGGGGTGTCTGGTGTGGGCATCTGTTTTATATATATATGTATGTATGTATGTACGTACGTACATACACATACACAATCAGTCCCTTTAAGGCAAAGAAGAAAGCAAGGAACAAACTGAAGTTAATTGTCTCTTCCAGTGAAGGCGTGGTGAAAAAGAAGGCATGAAACACTGAAAAAACTATCTGCAACATATTCAGGGCAGAAAATCTGCATCAATCATAACACAAGAGCATGACAGACTGTAACACTGTATCAGCTCTGCATCCATTATGCTGAATAACTTTTTCCAACACTTGAAGGTTGAACTTCATGGTCAAAGACAAGTTATTCTGTCATGTCCTTCTATTTAAAAGAAAGTGAGTCAAGTGCTATATATAATACCAAGATTAATGGTCAGTTTTAAACCCTGCTTTTCAGATCGATGTGACATTCCTAAACTTTCCCCAACCCTCTTTCTTTGCAGGTTAAAAAGAGTGCTGGACTTCACCATGCACACACAGGTGTTTTAATGCCCACTGCTCTTTCCTATCCCCTTCCCTCTCATTTCTTCCCTTTGATTCCATTCACAGAATCAAAGAACTGTAAGGGCTGGAAGGAACCTGTAGCGATCACTGAGCCCAATCTCTGCTAAAGCAGGTTGCACAGGTAGGCAGGCGTCCAGGCACGTCTTAAGTATCTCCAAAGGAGACTCCACCACTTGTCTGAGCAGGCTGTTCCAATGCTCTGTCACTCTGACAGTAAGTAAGTTTTTTCTTGTGTTAGTATGGAACTTCCTGTGTTTAACTTTGTGCCGCCACCCCTTGTCCTGTTGTTGCACACCACCACAAAGAGCCCGGCCCTACTCACCTTCTAACTTTTAGATATTGATAAGCATTGACCAGATCCCCCTTCAGCCTTCTCTCCCCCAGGCAGAACAGCCCCAGGTCTCTCAGCCTTTCCTCATGCAGGAGATGCTCCAGGCCCCCAAGTATCTCCATGGCCCACAACTACACCCTCTAAAAATCTTTTTGGAACCGGGGAGCCCAGAACCGGACCCAGCACTGCAGATGCGGCCTCAGCAGGGCAGAGCAGAGGGCAGATCGCCTCCCTCGTCCTGCCGGCCACGTCCTTACCACTCATCACTGGGTACCACCGCTCTGCTTCTCCCCACCTCTACCTCTGCGAGAAGGTCTCGCTCCGTCCAGCCAGCCCCCTCGCACCCACGCCTGCCGCCATCCCTCGCAGCTGTCAGAACACGAAACCATTTCACAGACAGCGAAGCGAGGCGAGGCCCTCAGCGGGCAGCAGCCGCAAACCATCCCACCGCATCCCGTCCCGCCGCATCCCGTCCCGCACGCTGACCTACCCGACGGCGACGCGCCCCCAGCCCCGCGCCGGGCGGACGATGGCCGCCTGCCAGGCCGCTACCATGCGGTTCTCCAGGGAGCCGGCGCGGCTCAGCCCGCCCAGCAGAGAGGCGGAGAGGTGCTGTAGGATGGAGGGGGGCGACTGGGGGCCCAGCAGGCAAAGGTAGCCCAGCGCCAGGGCCAGCAGGCCCACGCACGCGGATCGCTGCCACATCGCGCGGCCCTTCCCCCGCCACGTCTGAGGGGGGAGGAAGGCGGGAGGGCCGGACGCGGGGCCCTTCCTTACGCCGCCTCCGTGGCGCCCCGCCCCCTCCGGGCCCCGTCTGTCGTAAAGCCGCTTCGGGAATCGGGGCGGGCTCTGCGCGAAATGCGCGGCCTCTCTGTCCTTGCGCCGTTTGCGTACCGCGGCGAGGTGCGGCTGCGCAGCGGGCGTAGCTGAGCTACGGGAATAAGGGGGAAGCGCGAGCGCGGCGGTGCTTCGTGAGGGGAAATGGCGGGAGGAGCGGCTCCCTCACGGCTCCGGCGTGTCCTGGGGCCGTCCGGCCCGGGGAGCCTGGCCCCCGCCCGCGGCGTGCGAGTGCCGTGGTGTGGAGACCGAGGGGCCTGCGGGGAGCGCCGTCCCGGTGACCTCCATCACGGCTCGGTCCTCACGGGATGGGCTGCGCTCGTTTTCTCCTCCCTCAGGCCGCCCTTTCTCCTCCGTCCCCCACTGCCCAGCCGCTCTGTGGGCTCACGGGCCGTATTTCTGCTCCGCGTTCTTCAGCCTTTTCCTCAGTAGCGCAGCTCACGATCTCAGTCCCGCTCCCGGCTCCGCCCGAGCTCCGCGCGCAGCGCTGCCCGCCTTGGCAGCGGGGCTGTGAGGGGAGCGGGGCGGCGCGGCTGCTGGAGCGGCAGGAGCGGCAGCTGTGAGCCTGCGACGAAACGTGCGGGAGTTTGACAGCTGCGTTGGCTGAGGGCTGATAATTCCCTTCCTCAGCTCTGTGTTGTGAGTGGCTGTCACTTTCTCGAACTCTGACAAAACAAACAGTAAAGGAGATGGAGCGGCAGAAGGCTTTTGGGGTTTTGTCGGTAGGACTTTCTGTTTAACTAGTTTATCCTTTTTCCCTTTGGCCCTTTTCCTGCTGCTGTACACGCTATGGAATCTTGCTGCCGTACCCCTGGGCTCCCCAGGTGCAGCCCTTGGTTAATGCTGTGCTGCTGGAGGATGCAGCCAACAGGAGCCCCTCGCTGCTCAGTGCAACCGGGTCTTCACCTGTGGGAGCCTGTGTATTTATAGCCTTGTCGCAGAACGTCATCATTAGAGTGCCCATAAGGCACCTGCAGCACTGACACAGCTCAGGGACTCTGTGATTAGTGCTGTGCCACCAGAGGGTTGGACAGCGAGCAGATAACCCATCCAATAGTGTAGCATGTCAGGGAATTAGCCATGATTGCAATTTGGGGTGATTAGTTCTTCATCTGATGCTAATGCTGTGTTCTGTATTGCTTCTCTGAAGACTGAAGTCTTTCTTTATTCTCAGAACAGGTACAGTTTCCACATTAAACCTGCCTGGGAGGAACCACTGCTACTTGGTCTCTGCAAGCTGCTGACATTCTGGCTCCATGACCAGTTCTGTCAGTGAACTTGAAAGAGGCTGCAAAGGTAATCGAAGGATTTGTTTTATGATCTTGATTCCTGCAAGACAACAAGAAGAAAAGTTCCCTTACTGAACCTGTTCAGTTACAGAGCTAACAAGCATTTTTGGTGCATGCTTGTTTTAACCTAATGCAGACCTAGATTTGCCTGGAAAAGGTAATTTAGAGATGAAACGGTCAGCTCCCAACCAAGATGCAGCACCTTATTTCTCGTCCCTCAAGCTGCCCAGCATCCCAAAAACTTTAGTTAGAGGTGATGGGAAGGGGAACAGGGCTGCTGGATTCATACAGTGACTCAGAACTTAGTTGAAAAGTATTAATTAAGTAATAAATTAAATTTAATTATTTCTCATTTGGGTCTGTGTGTTATTTTTAAGGTGTGACACAATGATTTTAAGAACTTTTGCTGGATTACTTCTTAATACAGGAAGAGTTGGTAGATTTCAAAACAAAGAGTTAAAACTTCACCTCTACAGTTATTCTGCACTTCTTCTTCCTGACTATATGAAGTCCTTTGTGTAAGAAGTCCTTTTCTTGACACAGTTTCATGAGCTGCTTGTGACTTGGAGGGGGTGTACAACAAAGGCAGTTTTAATCAGTTTTCAGTTACTGGAAACTGAATTTGTTCCCTTTAGCAAAAGAAAAAAAGTGAGGGGGGAACTTTGTCTGCAGGAGGCAGACAAACAAGTAGGCAAATGCTTCTTTTGAAAATTAGCTATGGAGAGTTGCACACAGAGCATGTGCTCTCAGCAGCCACTCAGCGCTCACAAACCTTTATGCATGAGCTTCTTAATGACCTTACTGAGTTTGCTTTTCTGATCACAGGCTCAGTTTTGAGACATGGGGGTTTGCCAGAATCCTATTAGGCAGGAAGTGAGAGGAAAGGGGATGAGGATAGGCAAGCGGAGAAATAACAGGGAGGGGTGAAAGCCAGAGCTTTGGGTTCCCAAAGGAACTGTGGAGAACTGTTTTTTGTAGCTTAAACTCACAAGCAATTGTTTTTACTCCTTATTAAGTTGAATTTACATATTCAAATGGAGTCATTCCTTTTGACCTACTTTGGCCAGCTTAAACTGTAGGCATGCACACAATATGGGAAGGAGTTTTTCTCAAATGATGAATTCCTTTATTGTTGGTGGGATCGGTCATGCATATCTTTAGTGCCTGGGACTGAATCTTTAGCTGCACCTAATAAACATTAGGTAGCGCTCAAGGCAGGATTTGCATTGCAGATGGCTGCAGTGCTGTTGCCTCCTGTGGCAGCCAGCACTCCCATCATATTACTGCATCTCTGCGCTCCCGAGGCTTCCTGAAGTCAATTATTCAGGTGTTGTCTGCGTGTTCTCTGAGATCAAACCTTCCCCTGAAATCCCACACCCTCCTCTCTTTGATTGCAGGCCTTGTTTAATCTGAATTTGGAACTCATTAGAGCAGCAAACATATATCTGTCCAAACTCATGGAATTACTGTGGATGTTTCTGATGCTTGACCTGTGACATTTAGTGGGAGCCAGTAACAGAGTACATGAGCATGAGAGGAGTAGGAAAAAGTGGAAAATAGGCTTTTTGGGTGGGTCCTAGTAATGGCCTGGAAAATTAAGAAGAAAGTTTGCACTGAGCCATGCAGATGAGCAGAGGAACTCCAGTTAAAATACAGACTCTGTGCTATGCTCAGAAATTGGGCAGCATTCCCCATCTCAGCTCTGCCAACATATCTCAGTCCTGGACCTGAGCACCCACTGCTTCTCTGCTCCATAACACACGCTCAGCTTGGCCACCACATCTCAATCTTGATCTGTAACACCTCCTGCTGTTCCAATTCTGGGGCCTTTTTGAGCAGAAAATACCATCTCTCTCCTAAATTGTGCCAAATTGTTTGGTTTTGGCCACAGAACTAATTTTCACTTGTCGCCTAACGGGGTACCTAGAGACTTTCATCTAGCAATGTCAGTGCCAGAGGAAAAAGAACATGAGAATACCCAGCCCCCTGCTAAGTCCCCTAATTATATAGTGATGTGTTAATAACAAACACGCTTTCATGTCTTGGCAGTTGCAAAACACTCATCAGTAGTGCAGCGCTTCAGAAGTAGAGTCGCACAGGAAAGATGCAAGTCCCCATTTAAATTACTTAATTAGGACAAGCATTGTCTGTACCCAGGATTAGAGTTTGGAAGAAATGCTGGTGTGAAGCTGTCAGATGCCAGTTGTTTGGGTGTTCTGCAGAATGTGAGCCACCACATAAGAGCCTTGCTTTGCAGAAGCAATCTTTCTGTGCAGAGAATTTTTCTTCCCACTCCGCCTCATGATTATAAATCTGTCTTATTTGCAGGCCTTGCCATCTTTTTTTTTGAACTCAGCAGTGGGGGGTGGAACGGCTTCCATCTTGGCTGATGCATCAGGGCTGGAGCTGGGGGAACATCCAGATCCAAAATTATGTGCTGCTTTCAGTTTGAGCCAAATTGCTGGGTTTTGCAGTGCTGATGGCTCGCACCCTGTGGTGATGAGCCTGCTTTCCAGCAGAAGGCCCAGGAGCTGGAGCAGGAGTGAACCACCAAGTGTGCTGGTGAATACCCTGAGCAATTCGAGTTCTTGGCAGTGGCAGCCTGTGCACAGGAAGTATTGCCCCGTTACTGAAGAACATGATCCAGATCATCAGAAATTGAGGGAGTCTTGACCCTTTGTCAGAAGAAGACAGCTTAGGAAATGATCAAGGAATATGTGAGAAAAAATTGATTTGAGGAAGTCTTGATTGCAGATATGGGACAACCAGGGGATCAGGCCCAGCCTGCACAGGTTCATGAAAGGCAGCTGCTTCTTGGCCAGCCTCATCACCTTCTGTGATCAGGTGACCTACCTGGTGAATGAGGGAAAGGCTGTGGATGTAATCTACCTAGATTTCAGGAAAGCCTTTGGCTCTGTCTCCCAAGTACTCTCCTGGAGAAGCTGTAGCCCACGGCTTGCACATGTGTAGTCTTTGCTGGGTAAGGAATTGGCTGAAGGGATGAAACAGGGAGTGATGGCAAATGGAGTTAAATCCAGCTGGGGACTGGTCATGAGCAGCGCTCCTCAGGGGTCAGTACTGGGGCAGACCCTGCTTGATATTTTTATTGGTGATCTGGGTGAAAGGACTGAGTGCACCCTCAGTAAGTTTGCAGATGACACCAAGTTGGGAGGAAGTGTTGATGTGCCTGAGGGCAGGAATGTCCTGCAGAGGGATCTGAACAGGCTGCATCTTATGGGCCAGTGGGTTGAGCTACAACAAACCAAGGGCTTGGTCCTGTGACTTTGGTCACAACACCCCTGTGTATTGATACAGGCTTGGGGCAGAGTGACTGGCAAGCTGCGCAGAGGAAAAGAGTCTGGGGCTGTTGGTTGATACTCGGTTGAACATGAGCCAGCAGCGTGCCCAGGTGACCAAGAAGGTCAGTGGCATCCGGGCTTGTGTCAGAAATATTGTGGCCAGCAGGAACAGGGAGGTGTAGTTAGCACTGGGGAGGCCGCACCACGAGTGCTGTGTTGTTTTATGCCCCTCGCAAAAAGAAAGTCATTGAGGCCCTGGAGTGTGTCTGGAGAAGGGCAGCAGAACTGTGAGAGGTCTGGAGTACAAGTGTTGTGGGGAATGGCTGAGGGAGCTGGGATGGGTCAGGGATCCCATCCCTGGGAGGCTCAGGGGAGACCTTACCTCTCCCTACAACTCCTAAAAGGGATGTTCTGGTGAGGTGGAGGTCAGCCTTAGCTCCCATGTAGCTGCGATATGATGAGAAGGAATGGCCTCAAGTTGTGCCAGGGGAGGTTCAAGTTGAATATTAGGTGAAACTTCTCTGAAGGAGTGGTACTGCAGTGGCACAGGCTGTCCAGGGAGGTGATGGAGTCACTGTCCCTGCAGGCATTCAAGAAATGTGGAGATGTGGCACTTAGGGACGTGTTTACTGGACATGGTGGGATGGGCTGATGACTGGACTAGATGATCCTAGTGGTCTGCTCCTACCCTAATGGTTCTCTGATTCTGTTCTTGTTCTGGTGAGACTGCAAGTTGGTGTAGCAGCAACAACTGGAAAAGGATCCTCTGGAAGTAAGGGGGAAGATAGGAAACCTGGGAAGTATTAGCATGTGGGATGATAGGCTTAGGGGAAAATAGAGAAGGCTTGTCAAGTAGAACAGCAAAAAGAAGGGGAGTCAGGTGGGAGAGAGGTTTCCTTTTTGAAGATGGATGGATGTGAATGATGAGTGTGTCATGTTAGCTTCTGAGTGTGAAATTGAGCTGTGCCTGAAGTCCCTACTTGTAAATGCAGCCTGCATGCGGCTTTGCTCTGGGGCCTGGCATCAGCCACCTGCCCTGCCTGGCAGGGCTTTGGCCCCCTCTCTGCAGCAGATCTGGCTGTGAGCAGGGCTGCCAGTCGTTGAGAGCTGCAGGACAACAGGCCAGCTAAACACCTCTTTATCTGGCAGGTTTGACCCTGTAAACAGTCCTGTGAGAGCTGTTGGGTGCTGACATTGTATAATGACCCGGAAGAAAGGATGGATCTACTTCTGATATGAGCAGGCTAAAGCAATGCTTTAAGTGCTTTCCTCTATTCCAACTTCTTCAGCAAGGTAAAAGATGAATGACAGATGCCCAATCTTATCTTGAGAAAGGAAATCTGAAAACAAAGCTCATGAAATATTCTAGTCCACTAGATCCATCCAATTTACATAGCAACTGGGGAGCACTGTGTGGATTGTATCTCATAAAACATACTTTGCATTCTTTATTACATACATTACAAACTCTATTCCTGTCATGTTGGTGATGCTGGTGTCACCGAGAGTGAGTTGGTTTTAAAGGTTTGGTGTCTCTCTAGCATTGCAGCAGTGAGGGCAGACAGACTGCTGCTAAGCAATGTTATCAGCGTGTACCTCTAGCAGACTGGAGTAGTACCACTCCATCAGCAGAATTATACATCACAAGTGGATCACTTGTTTCTATTACTATTCAAGAAAAATCCTAGAGAATGGATCTCTGTGAAGCCTTTCATTTGCAACCCTTTAGGCTTTAATTTAAGCTCTTGCTGTGGTGGAGGACTGTGAAGAAGGCTGTAGGCACGCCTGGATAGACTAGAACAGAGAAACTCAAGTGTTTGCTGTCTGTAGTTCTGCCTACTAGCAGAGCTGTACTCAGCGAGGGCGTGCTGAGGTTACTTTGCCAGTGGGTAGGGCATACTTGGGTCACAGTTCTGTAAGCATAAGGAAGGGAAGAGACATGATCTGTAGCTGAGAGCCATGCAGTTTTACCAGCAAAAAGTGTCTCATTCTAATCACAGC